GTACAGACTAACGTAACATTAACGTGGAATTGCCCAAATGTGTAATATCAAAGACATATTACAGCGCTTTTCACTGACAATACACACAATATTTCACGAATCATTTTAACTTTCTCTTCAATGCTTAAAACTTTCCTTTTCTTTGCCATGTTTTCGCTACTGCACTTCTCTGGGTTTAGGCAGGAACACTATAGGGTAAGTAGACAATGTGAGGTCCTGTTAGACGAGATTCTAGGAAAGGAATGCAGTTAAGAACCTGCCGCATCCTCTTGTACTATTCACGCAGTCCCACCCCACACCCTTGTTTTTGCATAAAACCCACGCTCCTCTTGCAGCCCGCGGTCGTATTCTTCCAGGACAGTCACGCCAGCAAGTAGAGAAAGTGGGGGTGGGCAGACACATTGAACTTTCCCAAGATATCAGAGAAATTCAGGAATGAAAATGACGTTACATACGAGGTTGATGCATTTGTGCATGTTGTACTGAGCAAGGTATAAAAACAGTTGCTTTATGAGGAATTAGTTTGTACCATTGAATATTTGACGCAATAGACAAGGTGTCGCAGAAACCGATGTTGCTATAACCAAGTTTTACTGTATTTTATACACCTGTAGATTCTGTACATTTCCAAGTATGATTTAAATTGATCTAGTCATGTAATAAAGTTACCCTTGAGGTCATCTCACTGATAACAGTATTCACTTTCCTTCAGCCCACAAGATGAGATGTAGACCTAAAACACTGGGTGCATATAACAACCCCTGCAAATGCAGAAAAGTTTGCACTCGACAGACCAGACCTCCACTGAGACTAGGAGTGGAGCACCATTGGTAACTAAAGCCATAAAACACAGCCATACCACAACACAACATAAAAGTGGTCACTGCATCCTGCTAGAGGATCCAATATGCTCACCAAAAATCTCCATGCATGGACTGGATCATCAGAGCTGCAATATAAAAATGTGTAAACCTATGATGATTTCTTCCTGAGCAGGTCATGTAAGCTTCTCATTCATGCCCCAAAGGAGAGCAAGACGGCTCTATCCAAGGAAGAGTCTTTACTTGGCTTGTCTGTCCTTAGCCCTTAAAAGGGAATTCTTTGTTCCTCTTCCTCCTGTCTACAGTAGTGGCCAATTTCAAGGTCTGCGTTCTCACTGAGCCATCTCCTCTTCCCCATCCCTGATTGTCTGCAGCCACTCCTATCATATGGGATCCACTTATTCCCACCACTTATATAAAAACAGCCACATTCCCATTTGGTTTGCATCTATTCTGAAGCTGGAGGCAATATGTTCTTTGAAAATGTTGGCATCCCCTACCACGTTATAAGGTGTCATAACCCAGATCACAATGAAAATCTCATATTTAACTATTATCTACCACCACTATTTTCTCATTTCAGCTGAATACATAACCATTTTGACTTTGGAGTTATATGTAAGGATATCTGTATTCAGCGTTTGACAGAGCATAATGAAATTATCTAGTGTTATAACATTGTGAGGATTATTTTGATTTTTAAAATCTCACTTCTAGCTCCGTTACTAACTTACTATTTTATTTTTTGTTAAATTTGTTCATTCATCTTTCCTCATTAGTAAAGGTATGTTACAGAGGGCCCTCAACTTGAGGACAAGAACAAAGAAAATCCTTAATGAATTTAACCTTACCTCTTAATTGGAAAATCCTATGTTTGCCCCTTTTGGTTCAGAGAATTAAACTGGGCTATCTATTATTATTTCTTCCATTATGCCATGGTACAGGGTATTTTCTGCTCCATAAGAAAAGTATTTATTTTTGTTTCATGAAGGAATTGTTTGGCAAATGACACTGACGAAGTTCCCAAATCATCTCACAAGGAAAATAAAACAGCAGAACATTACATGACTTTGAGCTCTATGAATGCGATTTCATCATCCTAAATCCCTTCACCCACCTCAAAATACACGTTTAATATGGGATATGGCAAAACGAAAGTTTAACAGTAACTCTTAATCAAATGATCATAAAGTTCACTGTATTATGGATCTACAATTNGAAATTTCATCTCTCATATAAGCAGTATACTACAAAAATATATACATTTTACAACTAATTTCAGAATTATCTAATTTCATATATCTTTAAGTTTGTAGTTTACATTACTAGAAAATTCTTTCCAAACATAAAATAAATGTTCATAACAATTACTTCAAACCAGTTCATGTAAAGTGAGATTTCAAAGCAATTTTTATTGCTAGAGAAATTTACATACTCCTCTATTATTAGTATCACACACTCAGACTTTTGCATCTTCAAGTAAATTCAAAGAAAAAGACTAAAATTAATTTTGGTTAATAATAATGGTAATTGAAATATCAAAGTAATAACTAGCTCTGCAGTTATCACTAGAAAGTTGGCTTATAAGTGCAACAGTGAGATGAGAGTAATGGTGTTATTTAGTATCATCAATAAATGTTTTCTCAATGACATGTTTTTTCAAAAACAAGAAAAAAAAGATACAGGGGAAAATTCCCACTGTTAGAAAGTAAGTTAAAATAATTTTTAAAACCTTTGGGATCTGCAATTCAGCATTTCCAGGAAGAATTAATATTATGATAGTACTCCTACTGAATTGGCCTGAATTTCATCTTTACCCACAAATAACATATTGTGGCATATTGGCTCTATGCAGGAACTGTTGACCCACAGAGTCCTCGGGGCACGCGTGCAATGGGAGAGTTGTGGATTGTATTGGCGTGTTGCTAGGCGACAACACTGTGAACACTTGGATAGGGCAACAGGAAGTGCGAGTGACATCACATATCCCCACTCATCCTGTCAATACGCAACGCTCGGTACATACCCCTCCCCGCTAGGCTGTGAGGTCTGCAACAGTGGAGTCCGTGCCGTGACCATTGCTAGGCAATCGTTCGGTAAATACATCCAACAATATATGCTGTTTTCTGTGTGGTCCACAAGAGGCCTATGTAAGAGGGTTCAATGCACCAGACAGTGCAGTTGAAATCTGGAAGTGACTATAGAAGAATTAATTGGGACACTGAAATTGTGAATTGTGTAAGTGTGGATAGAAGTGTGCAATAAATTCGCTAGATCCAAGATCGGCATCAAGTTATTTGTCGCGTCACAGAGCCAACGCATGACAACTGGTGTCAGAAGTGGGACTGGACCTAAACGCACAGACAACACGCGATTAAGACAAACAAAAATGGAGTCACAGCAGGTGATGGAATTCCTGCTGAAAGAATTGAGAGCCAAGATGAACGCCATGCAGGAAAAAGCGGACGCTGACATGAAGGCCTGGCAAGAAGAGACGGCTGCAGGAACAGAAGCCATCTGAGCAAGGACAAAAGCCATGTGAGAAATGATGCAAGCCAACCACAAGAAGAGATGGCCTGGCTGAAAGAAGAAAAGCTGACCTCAGTGGACAGGAAACCTGAGGTGGCACAAAACGAAGAGGTCCCCATAGAGAATACCAAAATAATACCAGAGGCGTAGGGACCAAAACTGATGAAAGATAAAGGAACAGACCCAGAGTCAGGATGGGTGCCAAAAGAAACTGATCACCGCCAGCATGATGACCCACCGTGCAAAAGTGATACAGCGCAAAGGAATCGTCAGAAGAAACTGGTTCATGGACAACGTAGTGAGAGGAACCTTGGGAGGAGACGTCAGCTGCAACTGCAATGCAGCAAGGGCATAAGAAACCGAGATGTAGAGGAACCACTATATCTGGGGAAGAAGAGGACATCCACAATCAGTATCGGAGGGTGGAGCTCAAGACAGCTGTCATCTCTGTGAAAAATAGGACTGGCCTATCAGACTCTCAAGAAGAAGCTAAAGCCGAAATTTGTGAAGAGAGCAACCAGGATGTTTGGCGGGTTGCAGAGGGACTCAACGTTGTGGAGGTATCAGTGTCCTCCCGAGCGACATAACATGGAGTGGACACTCTGGAGGGGTCAACCCCCTCCAAAGCGAAAGAAAAAAATTTAATAATGCATAGAGGAGAAGCCAGTAATGTAGAAGGACCGGCCTTCCCAGGAAGAGTGAAAGAAAAAATGAAAGATGATGAAAACATGGACTGACTTTCGCCCTACCACGGAACTGCTCGGGACGAGCACCCTTGAAGGAGGCGGCAGATGCTGTAGAATGAACACCACAAAAGACACGCGAAGAACGGCAAGACTGAATGCAGACGTTGCTAGCAGGAATCCACCAAAACAACGGGAAGAAAAGGAATGGAGATGCACTGTTAGGCTATTCAGGACAAACAGCCTTAAGGAAGGAGCAATGTGGTATATTGGCTCTATGCAGGAACTGTTGAGCCACAGAGGCCTCGGTGAACGCGCGCAACAGGAGAGTTGTACTGTGCACACTGATATGCGACAACTCTGTGAACGCTTGGATAGCACGACAGGAAGTGTCAGTGACGTCACATATCCCCATTCCTCCTGTCACTACGCAATGCTCAGTAAACACCCCTCCCTGCTAGGCTGTGATGTCATGCAACAGTGGAGTCCGTGCAGCAACCATTGCTAGGCAATCATTCGGTAAACACATCCAACAATATAGGCTGTTTTCTGTGTAGTCTGCGAGAGGGCTATCTAATGGGGTTCAATGCACCAGGCCCAAAAAGACTGCGCTGGCAAGGACCAGCAGCACATACAAAAGACAGACCCGTCCTCTCGTCACAGACAGACCATAACTGTCAAATGATAATAATTAATATCTGGTCATGAGCCCCAGATGGGGCTCGACACCAAGACTTACTGATTGAATGACTGACTGACTGTCAGTCTCAATGTGACTCTGACTTTGTCAGACAGTTCAGTTGAAATGTAGCAGCCACCGAAGACAGTTGAAGTCTGGAAGTGACTATAGAAGAAGTAACTGGGACACTGAAATTGTGAATTTTTTAAATGTGGATAAAAGTGTGCAATAAATTCGCTAGATCCAAGACCGGCATGAAGTTATTTGTCGTGTCACACAGCCAACACATGACAATATCTTATATTAATTTTAAAAAGACTCAAGAAAATGTCTGCTGTGTAATACATAGACTGGCCCCTAAAACACTGATGCAACATATGCAGTCCCATCAATAAAGGTATGTACTTCACAACATGGAATAATTTCTACACCAGCAGTTGGTCCTACAGCCCACCATATCAGTACTTAAGTATGAGACAACAGAAGTACATGAATTTATTGGTAATCTCAATCATCAACTGTTCACTGAGTCTGGTGGTTCATCTGGTTGATCCAAGTCAGAATCATCACTTGAACACTCATTGTCCGATGTTGTCTTATCCCCCAGGGCTCCAATGTTACTACATTTTGCACTTAACTTTGCATGCAACGCCTGCAGTCTTGTTAGTATATTCCGGTACTGGAATGTACCTCTTTCCTCTCCAAATGGGTCCTAGAAATTAAATTTCAATTTAACAGAAAGATTGATAAGCTTTACAAGTTTACACTACACTACCTTGTAATAATGGTGAGATTTACACATACAGTTTCTGACATGTCACAGATAAAACTGTCTGTATAGTACATGATACTAAGATATACAGTACAGTACACAAAAGTATTAATCGTTCCCATACTGGTAACTTAGTTCATAACCAACAATGCTGGGATTTAAACAGGATGGGCAACTGATATTTTAACTACATGATATTACTGTATTGTACTGTTATTAGTGTCATGCAGCCATGTCAAACATGCGGCCCCCATAGCCACAAAGTACGGCCCATCAACTTTTAGAGCTAATTGATATTAAAATCAATATTAAAATTTTAACAGAAATATTTTTTGTAAAGACAATTTTCCAACAGACCAGAAGACAAGAAGTCTCAGGTAGACATAAATTGGCAGGCTGCAGGAAAAGTGATTCTGAGAATTGCACAAGGGTTTGTCCAACTAACGGTTTGTAAAGTTCGTGAAGGACAAACTATTGTATTTCAGAAGGTTAATGCACTAAAATCTGCACAGCCTCACCACCCCAAGTATTTCCAAGAATCCCTTTTGGAGGCGTAGTAAGAATGCAAGGAGGGTGGCAACTGACAGACAAGTGCAAGGGACAATATTATATTTAAGCATCCTGTTGCACTCTATATGCTATATGACATAAACGTAGTAAAGATAAGCAGTGGCCGCACACAGGGAGCCTACATGGAATAACAGTGCTGAAAACAAGAAGTAGCCGCTGCAGCACTACAGACATAGGGCGAGTAACCCTGAGAATTTTAATTTTAAAAGAATTTTTAATTAGAACTGAAGATTTTAAAAGTGCTGGTTCATAATATCAAAATTGACGAGCGTAGGCAACAAAGATAATGCTCAAAGCAGACAGATATCAGCGAAGTAGATTCTGATATATTGAAACCTGTTGGTAACGACAAAAAGAACAATTGTGAAGACTTATGATTTTAAATTTTAAACTAGATGCAGTGTAACAGTTACGTAAGTGCATACACCTGATGATGGCCGTTTGCGGCCAAAACATGTAGTGTAGAAGAGGGCAAGACAAAAGAACTACAATAAATTGTTGCACTTGGGACGGTGTTTATGTCATAAAGTGCAAGGGATTTCTAACTTCAGAACTAGCTTGCAACCCCCAGTCACTGTCTAATGGGCTGCTAGCAAACTTTCACTTTTATGACCATTGAGACAAGATACACCTTCCTACTAGTCCGGTAGTCTCTTGTACATTGTCATTCAGTTCATTTTCACACAGCGACAGGTGCTGATGTTACACTGTTATGAACGTATAAAGGTTATAATGAAACATTAAATTATCAACTACGAGTTTTCTTGTATATATACAGTAACTTTTAAAGGGCAATGTCGCTTTCAAAAAATTCAAGTAGTAAAAAAGAACTACTTAAAGTGAGCACCGTGCTTTTCAAGAAAAATGGGAAATCGCTTATTTCTGTTGTGAAATAGAAGGTAAAATTACATGTTTGATTTGTGGGCAAAGTATAAGTGTTCCACTTTAAGTAATTATATTGAAATTATTCCTAAATAATAAATAGAATTAAATTTCCTTGTATCAAAATCAAATGTATATTTCTATTTTGAAGTGCGGCCCTCGACTATTATTTATAGGGCTGAGGTGGCCCTCTGTACAAGTTGAGTTTGACATGCCTGGTGTAGTGTATTGTATTGTATGGAGAAAGACCATAAACAGACACTAATTCTGTATGAAATACTCGTATATTTGGAAATTATGTCCAACAAACTGAAAGCAAACAAAATTTGTTCTCATGGCCTCTGCATGTCCATGTCTGTCTCTGCAGGTGTGTGGATAATATTGATGTCATATACAGGGTGTTTCACGACTTTAGGGCGTAACTGCAGGAGGTGATTTCCTAGGTCTTTGTGATAAAAAAAGTTCATATAAACATGTGTTCGATTTTGGACAGTTACGGAGTTATGACAGTTTTTTCATTCCCGTACACGCCCTCGTGTGAACCGTGTCTGTCAGCTGGCAGGTCACTATTTTTAGCCAGCTACAGAAAGAGCGTTCTTGTTATCTCAACAAGTGAGAGCTACCTAAGGCGTGGTGGGTTGGTATGTCCAGCACAGTTCACAACTGAGCGGCAGCCTGTGCAGCGGCGGTGGCATTTTCGAAAATCAGCTTTAAGCACCAATAAATTCAAATTAAAGGTAATTTCACGAAATTAACTTTACATTAATACTTTAAATGTATCATGTATTATGCTCGCCCATTTATTATTTTGTTCCATTTATTGTCAGTAATCGTTACCTTCTATTCTGAGTTTAAAACGGTTATAACTCCGTAACTGTCCAAAATCGGACACATGATTATATGAACTTTTTTGATCACAAAGACCTAGGACCTCACCTCCTGCAGTTATGCCCTAAAGTCGTGAAACACCCTGTATAATAAGGGCCTGGCATAGCAGTGAACTATTTTTAACAATTTCCATGTGTGTTTGTGTCTGCATGTGTGTGTGGATAATGTTTAGTTCATATATAATATAGCCTGCATTGTGACTATAAACTAGCGGAATAATTCCCATCACTTATAGATGAACACTTCTTACCCAAACATAGAGTCAAGACAGCCAGCCTTTAGATTCAGCCCAAACTTCCAAAATTTGTGTCTCTAGGTTTTCTATGATGGAAATCATTACAACCTAAATACCTGCATATGTTGTCCATGGAGGTGAAGTTTCTTTCTGACTGAGCTGTCATAGTAGTCATAGAATTCAAGAAATGTTTTGTCCATTACTTCGCTTAGAGCATCTGGAATGGTGAGACTAGTTTCATTCTCCAGCATCCCACACACAGCCACACGAAGTGTCTCATGTTGGATAATGTCATTGTAGCGCCCTATATCACCAGGGCACCTCTCCTGTGAAATTTAAAACTAATTATAGTACTCTGAAGAGGACATTAAAAACAATTTCAAACATAAACATTATCGTATACAGGTGCAGCACTTCCATACTAATATCTGTTGAGTGCTCTTTGGGGTCAAGTAGAAATGGAGTGCTGGTCAGTACAACACCTCATTGCAGCTGTGGAACAGTGTATCAGAACAGAGTCAATTACATCTATAAAGTGTGTTTCCGACTATAGTTTGAAACAAGTGATGCACCTGGCTGCAATAATTGCTGTTGTGGGTATTAAAATGGCATCAAGAAGGATCAGTGATGGACAGTAAACCTCAAGGACATCCATGTTTGGTGGCTAAACCTAACCACGTGGAGTAAGGATGAGAAGCCAGTTTGTGAAGTCCTCACAGGTCAGCTCAGCAGCAAGCTCTTGCACTTGCTTTGAAGGACAGCAGAGTTTGGTGAACTATGCATAAATATTTACATTACCATCCATACAAAATTCAAGTTGCCCAGAAACTGCGTGAACAGGACACGGTGAACTGACTTCAGTTTTGCAATCAATTCTTGGACTTTATGAACAACAGCAGCAACACTGTGAAATTATTACTGACATCAGATAAGGCCCACTTCCACAAGTCAGGTTATGTGAATAAACAAAACTGTCAGTTTTGAGCTGCACACAACCCATGTAAACTTCACCAATGACTTTTGCATAATGTGAATGTGACAGTGTGGTGTGCAATTTCTTCTGGTGGCATTACTGGTCCCTGTTTATTGATGATGGGAGGAATGAAATAAAACAGAGCTGAGTGGTACACAGCCATGCTGGAAACATTTCTGCGAAACAACCTTCATCAGCTTAATTTATTGTTATTTCAACAAGACAGTGCAACTTCTCACTCAGCATGGGTTTCCATGGCAGTTCTCAGGGAGAAGTTTTCAGGTAGATTCATTTCTCATTTCAGGGACTTCAACTTGCCAACCCACTCACCTAATCTTTCAGTACCAGATTACTTTCTCTGGGGCTACATCAAAAGCTAGATTTACAAGACACTTCCTGCTAATACTGGTGACCTGAAACAGCAAATTTGGGAATGCATTCAAGGAATCCCAAAAGAAATCCTACAACATGTTATGGCAGCCGTGCCATTTCAACTGGAAGAGTGTGATGAACAACAAGGAGGTCACCTTGAAGGTATAGTATTCAAACAATAATGCTTAAAACAAATTCTCAATGGAAATGAAAATGTATCTGTTAATAAATTTTTCCACTTTGCTTTGAGAAGTTACTTCATTTCAAAAATCCTTTAGGTGTTTCTGGTGCACCCTGTACCTTATTTTTGTAAATTCCAAGCTTTACTTCATAATTCTGCATTATAATAAAATCTGTTAACATATTCACAGTCGAAATTAACTTCATTTAATACTGTCAGCATCAACTCAAATCAATTTAGCACATTTCTTCTTATACCGGTACCTTGAATGTGACTACAAATGTTTGCATCACCAGGGAATAAAAATTGCTTGAGGATGATATGCACCTAGATCACTGGACATTACCAAACCCCAAGTGTTTTTCTCTATATCCTTATATTTATTATGCACTTCTGTTTAGTCCACATAAAAACAGGAGAGCTCATGTGATATTACAAGAGGTCACAGCCAACCTCTAGTGCACACACCTACTACTTTGTATTTGTGGTTCCCACAAAATTGCAGACATGGCAGTGAAAATATTTTAGGAGCAACCATTACCTGTGTACCCAACATTTTATAACCTGACTTTATGCAGACAATCATCAGTGAAACTAACCTGTATACACAACAATAAACTGCAGCGAGGTTGGCAAACCCAGACACAAAACACATAACATCCCATAACAATTATGCTATAATGGTCACTATGACAATTACTACATCAGTGTTCAACTTACAGAAACTGTCTTCAACATAGGAGACATAAGATAAGTATGTGGAACCATCCATTCAAGCAGTGGTCTTCAGAAAGACTTAGTTGAAGACAACGGTAATGGAACCCATGAGCAAAATGTGAGCATAAGCCCAGGTATTGCTCCTCCAGAGCCTTAGTAAATTATGCACAAAGGTAAAATGATTATATTGTGGAATATAAAATTACTGTTCATAATTCCCTTATAAGTCTACATTATAACTTGTCATATATAAAACAATATAATCATATAGAGGACAAGTACAAGTGGGCATATGGACATGCTGATGGTTGCTGGCATCTAGCAAAGAGATAAATCTGCCAGGTTGGTATTTTGGTGTTTATACTCCAAGGAAAGTGGGTGTTTTCAATGAAGCTCAAATTTTTGCCACTATCTCTGACCATATCAACATTTCAGAGAAATGTGTTGGCTCCATCTTTGAGGTAAAGAATCTTTTCTGTTAAGATGGAAGCAGCAATCCTTCAAAATGTTGGTAATGACTAGGGAACGGATTTTTATGCCCTAATAATCCTTTAAATATGTATGCATTTATGCATGAATAACTTCTGAAATATGCATATAAAAATTTATACCAAATATTAAAATTGATTTTACATTATTTTAAGACCAACAAATCAATGTTTAAGTTCATTTTATGTAATCACTGAATGATTCACTTGCAATAAAAAGCTATTCTTAAATACAAATCATACAACAAAGCCAACATATTTCATTACAAATTTAAAAAAACAATGGTACTCACATTTAGCTCTCCGAACTTTCAACTTCTCTTCTGTTGCAGTTCACAGTTATTAAATGTTTTAGGTTTCCCATAGTCGCCTCCTATTGTCTCGTAAGATGTCCTTATAGCGATTAAAACTTCTTTCCACCTCAAAGGAACTTAGGGGCACATGTACAAAAGCCGCTATTTGCTCCACTGTTAGTGACTTTTTACTTGGCAGTTCAGTACGTTTAGTGGCTAAAATTTCTTCAATTTCAACAAATTTGTTCATATCCTGGATTTTTTGAAAGAATGCTGTTTTTCGTTTTCCTTTACTACTTCACCAACTCTTCCAGGAGCCAAATTCAATTTGGAAACAGTGGTTTTGAACACACTTAACGACTGATACAAAGTAGTATTGTTATTGCTTGCCTCCAGTGAGGAAATGACAGATGGAAGATGAGAGAAGTGAGCAGATATATAGGAAATATTAGTTTCTAGTTCTGCGTTTTTTAGTACATCTTAGGCAATTTGAATTGATGCTGCAGTTTTGGGATCAAATGTATTCACGACATTCCTAACTGTTTCCAAATGTTCGGTGTAACTCGCAGCCACATGCCCCAGCGCGTTAAAATTGGTTCTGGCGGAAGTGGAATGCTCGATGTTACTGCTTTAAAGGCTTCTTTCCTGTATGGCGCTTTAACAAATACCTTCTTCGCAGAAGACACCAACTTGTCAACAAGCGGAAAATTTGGACGAATTGTTTCTGCAACATGGTGCAACCCATGGGCAAGGCAAGTCAAATGTGTCAAATTTGGAAATATAACTTTAAGAGCAGTACCGGCTTTCATCATATAACTTGTGGCATCAGTCACAAAGAGCAATGCATGCTCATACTGAATGCCATTTGGCCATAGTAAATTCATGGAATTGATAAAAAATTTGGAAACTGCGGAGCTATTCGCGGTTTCAAATTGCTCTACCACAAGGAGATATGGGGTAGATTGTTCATTCTTATTAAGGGAGCCAACTATACAATTTGCAATAAACCGTCCCTCACAATCTTGTGTTTCGTCGATTGATACCCACACAAAATTATCTTGAATCTTATCTCTAATGCTTTCAATTGTAAGATCGTAACACTGCTTCACGTAATTTCTGTGCACAGTAAATTCATCCGGCACTTTGCACTGTGTATACTTCTCTATGAAGTTTCTCAGAGTAGGACTGGTTAGTTTCCACAGCGGAATATCTGCCGCTAAAAAGGCTTCGCATAAATCAAAGAAATTCACTAAGAAATTTTTGAACAGGAGCACTTTTTGTGGATTGAATTTTAATATTCTCTTTGTGTATATTAGTGTTCAAATGCTGAAGCACTTGAAAGCGTTTTTCACAACCAACTGTTTTCTCACACACTCGGCAATAAAGAATTTCGTTATCCGTACTTATCATCTCTCCTTTGAACTCCCACTGATACAGCTGTAATTTAGTTTTCTGACTTACTTTCACTTTCGGCATGACTACAGAAAGCTAAACATACAGACTAGTCACCACTAATGTGAATGGCCCCAGCTTCAAATGAAGAAGCATAACGAACCTCATGGAGACTTCAGAAATAAATAAGTGAAGTCCCTTATCGGTTGAACAGTATTACGTTGATGGTGGCTACATGTGAACGCTTCCAACTAATCTTTTCGCGGCCACTTTGATGGTACGCGGATGAGGCAAGTTACGAGTAGAGGGATCGGTGAAGTCCCGTCCTGGGTATCGCATCAGAAACATGAATCACGACAAAATGTTGAGTCAAATATACAACATATTCTAATGTGGAAAAGAAAAATTGTATACACACAACCATGATTGAAAATTTGAACATAAAATTAAAAAATATATATGATAAACATTTTAAAAAGGAAATATGCAGTATCAATAGAGATCTTTGAAAATGTGATGCTTATTCATAAAACAGGCAAGATGTGCATTTATATGCACCATCAAACCATCTCCAAAATTTAAGAAATGAAGTAATTCATACATATATCCAAACGAGCATACTTTCTGGTTGCAAGAAAGAAATATACATTTACATTAAAATCAGGTCCCTAGTAATGACCTGCAAAACTACACATCCCAGAAGACTGTAGTCTTCATTTTTGTTTCCATGTCCTTCATAACAGAGTTTTGGGGATTAAACATGTATTTTAATAAACTAAATATTAAATTTTTGCTGCTTCTTTCTAGGCACAAAAATCCAATGGCATTAATTTTTAAAAATAATGACAAGACCATGAAATTCAATATTATCCATGATAAATTGAACAGAGTCTGAACTTAAATGTGGTTATGAGAAAATCCAAAAAAAGTGTAATGATTTGATGTAAATAAATCCTGTTTTAGGTGACA